CCCCCCCCTCCGACTTAAATAATGACTGGTTGTGGATGATTACTGGGTTGTGGATGATGACTGATTACTGGAAGACAAAGGAAAACCATTTCAACGGTGTTGGTGCTGTAAGTCCGTACCTTATGTTTCCTACTCATACGATAACCAATCTAACGGGAAGCCATTTCAATGCTAAGGCATGTCGTACCGTGTAAGTGCTGTAAGTCAGTACCGTATGTTTCCTACTCATACGATAACCATTCTTTTGGGAAGCCATTTCAATGTTATGGCATGTCGTACGTTGTTGGTGCTGTAAGTCAATACCGTACGTTCCCCACTCGTACAATAACCGCCGTATCTTCGCTTTACTCATGTTTGGTAGAATTTATTCTTTCAGCTTGATTTCACAACCTGCTGTATAAATAGTAACCAACCAGCCAGCGGTCATCACCAATCTCTCCATGATCTACTTTCATCACGTGGCTGGAAAGGCCAGGCTACGAACGTACAACACACCTGTGGTTGTCATGCCGACAATCACCGGCCATCCTTTCAGCGATCTGCAGGGCGTGATCAGAAAACTGGTGTGAGTCACGTGTTTGGGCTTGTTGGCGTACCGACCCTCGTGCTTTGTAATAAAGAAGGTAAGAGATCAATACTGATCTGGGCAGGGTTTTCTATTTCAGATATCAGACTCTGCCTTTTATGTGAAGTGGTCAATCAGCTGGGGGAACCTTACACTAATGTTGATTCCGTTCGCATCTGACTGAAATTGAAAACGGAAAGCACACGCAAGAGAAGGAAAATTGTTTCATGCTTACATTTGGTAAGCGTTGCGCCCGAGCTTTATTAGCGCTTGCGTGCCCTTTCGAAAACCTGGYTTAAACCGGTTTAACCGGAATCAGATATTTTGTTTCCTATTGCAATGGACGAAATCCACTTGGGTGTATTGTTTTGCCCATTTCAGACCACTTATAATTCTCTTTAGACTAACATTCTTTGTATGTGTTGCATCCATATTCAATGTGTCTTCTCGTGCTCAACCATTAAACAAAGAAATGATACTCTAGGGAATGACACGCGGTTTGAAATTAGAAAACAGTGGATAAGATCTACTGGTTCTAGAGAGGATTTCTTTTAGTGTCAATCAGAAATGTAGGATAGGTAATCGGATATTCCATTTCTAATAGTTAACCTTTTTTGATGATTTTTTTAATTTGTTTGACAGGTTACATAATATGGCAAGGCCGCTGCTGTATCCAGGACTACTCGGAATATCAACAGTTTATGTGCCACGCCCTTAGCGAGGCCTCCAGTCAGTCATGCGCCRTGAAGAACTGTACGCAGTGTTTACTGGATCATGAACTAAACACTATGGATATCAACGGTCCTTCCTCTCAGATGGATAGCGACCCAAGTGATTGCTTCAGTTATGAGAGGACAAAACGCGACTCCAGCCTAGAGGTGACGGGTCGATTGTCACGGGTCAGACAGAAAAGACTCTCATTGGTTGACAATAATTCTGCTGACAAAACAGGTTTAACAGGTCTGGCGAAAGGAGATGGGATAGCACTGGCTGATAGAACGTCGTTTGAGAATCTTCACCCTACTCTGGTAGAAGAGACAGAGAATCTACACAGGCGATTACACGGCACACATCTAAATGACACAATTACTCATCCCAAAACCTCTCAATCCAAGTCTTCCCAACCCACCCGTCCCCAAACCACACAATCATCCACGCGCAATCATACAAAAACGCCACAGAACACTTCCTCATCAAAAACTCGAAAATCCGTTCGCTTTTTGGGTCCCGAGAGATCGAAAAGTGCGGCATATCGAACAAGAACTTCTGTCTTCCAGGACCGCTTTTCTCCCTTGATGGTTTCTACGTTACCTAGCCTCGCAGTGAAAAGTGAGCCAACTCTACCCAAGAATAGAAATCGTTCGGCTACTTCGAAGCAAAAACAAAAAATATCTGTCGATAAATTTTCGCCCATTTAAGAGATTCATATAGTTTACGTATTTATATTCATATTTATTTTTAGAAGTTCCTGGATCTCATAAGCTGGTATTATGTTAGATTCAGATTTATAAGCCACATGAGGACAAAATGATCTGGCGTGGATCGCCAGCGTAACGCTGTTGTCTTTATTTGTATGCATGAAAATACATTAAGAGAGAATTCTTTTCGTATTCAAGCAGTGAGCGCCAAAAACTATTTTCTTGGAGAAAGGCTGTTGTACGAGGCTAGGCTAAAATCTTGTTATTCAGAAAGTTTAACTCGTTTGGAAGTGGAGATAACCGATGAAAGTGGAATCAAAGTGTTAAAACCCGGGCAAAAAAATTATTCGAAAATGATGTTTAGGCCTTCATTTGCTTATTTCCCATATATTTTCTATAAAAAAGCCTGACAAAGCAACATTCTAACACAAATGCAACAAAACATCTTTGTACAATTGAAAATACGGCTTCAAACAGGCATTTTATCATRGTACATCAGTTTCTGACTGTTAAAAAAGGTTTTGAGTGTTAATTCAAAAACGAAAATTGGGATCAAAACTCATGCGAAAGTCTAGTTTTTGGCGCTTTTTGCCATTATTGCTCATTATTGAAAAGAATTTCCTCTCAATAAACACATGATTTAATATGTACAGGGACGCTGTCCTGAGCATAATTTTATTTGGCGGAGGGCGGAGTCTAAAATGAAAATTAGGCTCRGCAAATTTGATTTGATTGTCATACAGCTACTTCTACTAAACTTCCATTATTTTTGAATATAATAATTTTTATAATTGTCAGTATTTTAGCATTATTACAAACGGTAAATTTGACAAATCATTCATTTCTCAAGTAAGACGAGCAAGTAAGACGAGTTGTTGAATGTTAGACGAGTTACTGCAAATAACAAACTTGTTTCTGCATATTAGACGAATTGCTGAAAATAACAAACGAGTACTGCATGTCAGACGATTTGCTGCAAATAAGAAACGAGTTGCTGCATGTTTGACGATTTGCTGGGGGTTTTTTTTTATGAAAAGATTAAAAAGAAATTGCCTCGTAACCCTTGAAGTAATCTTAAAAATAGATACTTTGTCATTGTCTTTGGGACAAGAGTTGAATTCCACTAGAAAAACGGATGTAACACTGATAGGTTCGCTATTTTCTGAGTCGAAACCATGAATTGTTTCAAAAGTCTTTTTCTGAGATGTTTAATCGAAAGGATGTAATATTTTGCTTATTGTTCTGCGCTGCATGAGATTGTCAATAATGATGACACAAATAGAGGCCTGCTTTCCATATGTCTTATTGTTTCAACGAACTTTTTTTTATTATTGCATCCTAAATAAACAGACGCCTCCATGAATACGCTGTTTAATAGTCACTAGCTTATGCAGGCCCAAGTAAATACTAGTAAGCTAGTGAATATTTATTATCCTTTCTATCATTGCTACCCAGCTGCTTATATTCTAATTGTTATTATCAAAACACGTTCTTGTAAAAAAAAATTAAAAACCGAATAAAAGGAAGAAAGCCGTTAGTTTGAGCTATAACCTAATACAAGAAGTTTAAATACGCTTTTTTAAATAGCAGGGATCCGAAACTTGCTCGATTTAAAAACAAATAGAGAATCTTTACGGAACTATATTATTAATATGCGATTTAAAAAATTGCGATGAACTTTCAAATATTTTTCTGGCAGCAAATGCTTTTGAAACTAAACAAAACAAACCACAAAAAAATGTATATTGAGAATATCACATGTTGAGATCTTGATATCATATTGAAACTCTTAACTATTGTAACTTGTAAATATGGAAACTCGTAAATATAGAAACTATAATTTACAGTTTCCATTTTCTGTGAAGTGCCGGATATCGTACCACTTCACCGATATGGTTTTTTTCAGGGCTTTATCACACTGATATCCATCGAATATAAATGTGTAACAGAATAATTTAGTCTTCAAGAACACTCTTAATGGCAAACGCATTGCCATTCTGTCTTGTCATTTCTATTAAAAATCAAAGAATCGAAAAAACTTACTCGCTTTTTAACGGTTATTTTGAGAGGTACATCGAAGACAACGAAGGGAGCTCGGCTGTAGTTAAACGTTGAAAACCACACCCTGTCTTTGCAGGAAATTGTCGAGAGAAAAATCTTCGCATTTAGCCTCTCGTTATGAATCCAAATATCATGTTAACTTCGTCAATCTTCTATACTCTAGAACGATAAAATTATGTTCTGAAATCCTGAGATATCTATTGTAAATATATCGTACCAGAATAAGTGCCCCACTATCTAGCGTATCTTGAAGAAAAACACAATCGAAGAATCCTTCAGAAAATCTTTTGTGGTCCACATGACCAGTAATTATTAATACTTGAAAATCAATTCTTGTTGAAGGTGTTAAGTAGCACGATGAATACGAAAAGAGATCATATCGAAGAAGTAGAAAGGAAGGCTTGCTACTCGCTTCGCCATTGGCTAACTTTCCTTCGAAGGTGAGATTTTCGCAGGTCCTAAAAGGTTAGGAGAAGTACTCGTATTCCTTCGAGTGCACGCAAGGGCTAGTACAATAGATATAAGATTCCTGTTCTAACAGTATTAGAGCCAAAGAAACAAGACGTTTAAAGATTTTAAAGCTGTTTTATTCTGCAATAAGAAAGAGACTTTTACACCAGAGCTTTCCAAGATGGCGGCACGCACGAACTACTTACGGCCGGCAAGAGGGTAGAGACTTGTTATTGTTTCTGATACTGGAAGAGAAGTCTTCATCTGAAAATAACAAAAATTTGTTTAGAAAACGCATATTTATTTTTTTCGTGATAATGTTTTCTATAAAATAAAAGAGAAAGAGCATCAAGAATTGAAAGGAATAGAATAGAGTTTTAGCTCACAACTTCACTTTTTTATCAGTGAAACCTGACAGTAAAAACCATGTTTTTAGATTATTTAATTATTTACAATTATTTTCGTTAGAACAATTTTTTTGTCAGTTTTAAAGTTTAGATTTATTTTGTTGCAAAGCTATACTTCAAAACCATCTTTTTACTCGTATCTCTTATCTTTTATTTTGTCTTGGTTAAATGTCTAAATATCCCAATAGTCAGCTGAGGAACATATGATTTTCAATTCAGGTGTATATCTCGCCGCTTGACGCGAAGCCAGTTGTGTAATTTTAGAATACCTTCTTATGCATTATGTTGTTAATTCAGTAACTTAACTCTTCGTTTAAAGCACCGCAGGTGTTAGGAGGGCTTGGTGAGCAAAGATATGAAATAAGAAGAGATAACTAGCTAAAAACTAGTGTGAGCTGCGTCGGTATTTCTAATGAAACAGTAATGATAAAAAGGTAAATTTTACGCCGTGAAAATATGAAAAAACGTACTGACGTTTCGGACGCTAGTCCTTCGTCGGAGTAAGAAACCTTTCCTTTCTCGTCCGAAACGTCAGTTTTTTCATCTTTTTACGGTGTAAAATTTACCCTTTTACGATCAATGATATGAAATAAAATTGTCTTAAAAACTGCTTTCGCGTAGTTCAGTTTTTGACCGTAACATATTCCAACTTCGAACGAATAATGATAATGGTAAAAACGTCTATAACTGATTTCTATAAAAACTGACTTCAGCAAAAAGGATACCAAAATGCGATTATAAGCTAAGTTCTCCAGATTAAAGGTATGTTTGAAACTCGAATTCGTGAGGTTTTGTGGCTTTGACAATGAATTAAAAGAACGTCTGGTTACCGGACTGCAGTACGAAAGGCGCCAAAGGATATCAAACACTTTGGCGACCAATAAACAACATCACTAAACTGCAGGTATCAAACATCACAAACTTTATGTTTCAATTTTTTCTGACTTGGATTTTTTGGAAATCCTGCACAATTGGAACTTTATTGTAAAATGTTAATGTTGTTGTCTTCTTAGTTTGCTTTTTTATTTGTATTGCGTATTTTTCATGCGACGTATTATGCCGGTAGTTTCTGTTATCAAATCCCACCTTCAACTTACTAAACCATGTGGCTCTAAACTGTTCAAGTCACTATTTGTAAAGAAAAACCGCGTAAAACCAAGTAAAGCCGCGGATCTACTCGAAACAAGAAACAATTTAGATTTTATGGAATGAAAGTGTGTCAACAACATTATGATCATTGCAATTCGCTATTTTAATTTCTCACGTGTTCTTAATAAATCCCTCAGAGCTCCACCAATGGGACGAGACTCGTGTTTTCGATAGCGTGACTGAGACGGATTCATTCTAATGAACGAACATTGTTTTGATCGTTTATTACGAGCCGTTTATTACTTATGTCGATCATCTCGGCTGAACGTTATATTATCGAAARCAGTCCCTGGAAAGGATGGACATTTAACCTATTATCACAGCGGGAAATCCCAAGATACCAAAAGTATTATAATTGTTTTGRCTACTGCACCTTATGAGTCGTCTGAACCAGATGTCCAAGAAAGGAGATTTGCTAACTTAGCAATCGAAGTGCGTTGGTAAAAAGATAAAGAGAAAACAGAAAAGAAAAGGAAAGAAAACGCTAGGGAAGAAAGTGCAAAGTGGAAAAAAGAATCAGTGAAGAAAACATCACTGAGAAGAAATAGATTAAAAGCACGTGACTGCCCATTAACTGCGTCATAGAGGTAAAGGTTTCCTTTGAGATAGGTTTAGAAAATTACGTAAAACGAGGTGTATAATCTCTAAGTACTTATTGCTAGCTGTATCATAATTATATTTTTACGTATAAGGAGTTACCGTGAAAGCAAAAAAAAAAAAAAAAATTCAGCTGAATTTAAAAAAATTACATGATGATAATCAGAAACCCGTGAATTTTATTTTTTCTTAGTAAAATACATAATGAAAATGTGGTTTCATAAACGCTTTAAAAACTATCGCATAAAATGTTCTTTTTTTGTTATTCTGCAAACTTTAAATGTTTAGGCAAGGTGACTCRATATTGACGCCACACTAGTAACCTAGAGTACAAAGGAAAATTCCCATTTTAACTTGACATTCATATTATCGATATAATACATGTGTGCAAGGCAAAGGTCAAGTGTTTGCTGAAGACACCTTGTTAAAGACACCTTGATAAAAAACAATCATAACCTAATGAAATAGTTTT